CCCGCCCTCTACCCCGCCCGGAACCGCCGCCGCCCCGCTCATGCTGGCCCCATGACGCCTCTCGCCCCTGCTGGGCAGCCACGGCTGCAACGGCGCTGCGGGACCGCAGCTGCCGCGATGTGCGATGGGATTGTGTGATCCTACGCCCTGAGATCAGCCACCGAAGGCATGAGGAGCAGGGGCTGAGATATGCAATCCCCCATGGAGCTCTTCCGCTGAGGCCGGTGGCCGTGGCCGTGCTGCTGCGCATCAAAGCGGCGGCCGCAGCGTCCGCTAGCGGCGTGTTGGTAGTTTCAAAAGTGCCACCGCGTTCAGCGTGCCGAATGTTCAAAGCAGCTCAATATCTCTTCTACGTAGCATTCGCTGAGTCTTCCAGGTGCTTGGAGGGACGCGTCGAGATTGTGATGCCAGATCGTTATTGCCGCGGGTGAGGGTCATGGATAATATGATTATATGATTTATCTACATATGTATGCCTCACACACATTGCGCAGAGGTCGTATTGCGCTGCACCCTGGTCACGGCAACTCCATCTCCCCATGGTGCACAGCCCACCCCCGACAAATCAATGGCACATCCGATGATTCTCAGTGAGTTTCAATATCTCTTATTGCTAGCGTCGCATTCTTTACCTGACGCCACACCCGCTCGTGAGCAGTTCCTGTGCCATCCCCGCCAAGCGGAGCTCAATATGCGGGGAGACTCGGCACAGAGGTGTCCAAATTATCTAGCATAAATCCGTATCACGCGCAGAGTGCAGGCGCTGCGACACCACGCCGGGCGGCTGCACCTTGGCAACAAGTGCCCACGTCACACCATGTCGGACATCCCCGACTCAGTCCTCGCCCATGTAGCGCAGTGGCTGCCGCTGGCAGACCGCGCGTGTGTGTCTTGCACCTCTCGCGCATGGCGTCGAGCCGCGCCTGTCGACGCCGCCCAGCTGCTCCCCCTCGGCCGAGCCACTCATGCACATCGAGGCTGCGCCTTGGCGGGCGGCCCCCTGCTGCACATTGACCTCCAAACCTGCCGCCAGCAGCAGCAGGCAGCCGCGAGCCCCCTTGCCTGCCTGGCACTCAGCGCATCCCTCACTGTGACACCCTCGACGCGGCCCCTGCTGGCCGCCGCGTCGCGCCTGCGCACGCTGCGCCTGCACAGCGCCGACCCCGGTGCGCTGCTGCGGGCGTTGCCGCCCCCGAGCAGCGTCACATCCCTGGAGCTTCTGCTGTCATGCTGCGCCAGCGGCAGCAGCCACCTCGCCTCCGAGCCTGCCGCAACCAGTGCAGGGGCAGCGGTATCAGCAGCGGCAGCGGAGGCGTGGACCCACGAGAACCTGTCTGCCATTGCGCTGAGCCTGGGAGCAGGCGCGCCGCAGCTGCGCTCACTTGCAGTCCGCTGCAGCGCCGCGGCATTCTTCGAGGCGGACGGCGCCGCGCTTCAGGTGCTCGGTGCGCTTGGAGGCCTGACGTGCCTGGCGCTCGGCCCGGCGCCGGCGCCAGCGGCCGCCGCAGCACACACACACAACCCCCAGCAGTCCGCGGATGGGGGTACGCCGCTGCTCGGCTTCTCGCGCCCGCCGGCCTGGCTGGACCTCCTGCCTGAGCTGCAGCAGCTTGAGCTGCACCTGGCTGACTCAGCGGCGGCCCCCATCGAGGGCGCGGCCCTTGACCGGGCCGGGCGCGTTCCGGACGCGTCCCTCGTGCTGCGGGCCGACGCGGGGCCGAGGGTCGTCGCGGCACTGCCGGCGCAGCTGGCGGCGGTGACGGGGCTCACGCGGCTGGCGGTGCAGTCGTTCGGATTCGAGGTGCGGCGAGTGAACGCAGGGCCGCGCGCCGCATCCTCGCAGGCACACATGCCAGTCAAGCCGCAGTCGTTTACCCGCGGCACTTGCCCCACGCCAGCGATGCGACGTCCCACGTGCTCCCTTGTCTTTCACGATGGGCGCCGGTGCGCATCCGGCGCTGCGCGCGGGCTGCGGCCTGTCAGCCCAGTGCAATGCACCCGCAACACCCCCTCCATAACACCCCAACCTCACCCAAACGCAGGACGCCGGCGGCTGGACCTGCCTCGGGCGCTTCGACGCGTCCCCGCTGGCAGCCCTGCCAATCCTGTCCGACCTGGGCCTGCTCCTGCGCACCTGGGGGTCCGAGCACCTGGACGCGCTGGCGGTGGAGGGCCTGGAGCGACTGACGCAGCTGCGGCGCCTGCTCGTCACCGTGACAAGCACACCCGGGTGTCGGGGTCCGTTTGGCGGCGGCAGCCGCGTGGGAAGCACGGTCCTCGGCGGCGGCGGCGGTGGCGGCAGCCGATCTTGGATGCAGGAGGTGCGGCTGTCGCTGCCTCTCTCCCTGCCGCCGGCCGTGGCGGTGGCGGGCGGTGGGTCCGGACGTAGCGGCGGCGGCGGCAACGGCAGGTGCGAGGAGATACACCTGGCGTGCAGCGGCGCTATGGTCGTCCGCAACAGCCGGGCCCTTGCGCTCGCGCGCGGCGCTGCGCTGGCCCGTGCCCTCGTCTTTGAGGAGGACGCGCCAGCGCTGCCGGCGGCGGACGCCGCCCCCGCCGACGCCTGCGGCGGCGCGGCGGGG